ACCTGTGATAATGGAGATGTCTGTATAGGGTTTTTTGGGGGGAGCAACATGGAAGTGGGTTCTCACTGTCTTTTCCATGAAGTGTTTGACTTCTCAAGCTAGTTTCCAGCCCTGGAACTCCCTGGAGGCCTTGCATACAAGTATGAACCAAGACTGCTTGGCTTAAGGTGGCCTTAGGTTAACAGCTATCTCTCCCTCCTTCAGCTGGGACCTCTGGGGACCACAGTTTGGTTTACACTGAGCACTATAATTTCCATCACTCCAAACTAGACCTGAGGTTAGCTTGTTCCTTGGCTTCCAAGAGATGTGTTTAACTTCTGTGTAAAAGACAGTGATTCGCCCTGATGATGTGACCTAGTTGGGTCATAAAACGTCTGCGAGCCAACAACCAAGCTCATGGAGCACCAAGAACGCCACGGTTCAGCCCTGAGCTACGGAGGTTCTCTTCTCTTGAAAGGACAGCATGGTGGGATTTTGGTATGAAAGGAGTCTCCACAGCAAGGTGATGTCCTTGTCCAAGCGCTACTTGGACTTCTTATCAGGTGTTGTAAGCTTCAGCTTTTCCTTCTTATGTATGGCATTATTTTTTGAATGTGGAAGTTTTATCGTGTTTTGTTAAATACGTCTTTCTAAAGCTGCCAGAGCGCTGAAGATCCAGAAGCATGCATGCAATAATCATAATAATTAATAATAATAATAATGTCAAAAAATGGAGGCCTTAACGCATGCAGTGCTTCAATAATAGCCCGATAAACTGAGTAAGGGTGCATAAACATCTTGCAAAATCACAAGGAAGCCACGTGTGTCGTGACACTGTTGTGCCAATGATATGAAATACGTCCTCTGCATCAGCTGCATCTTAATGTGTGTCATTTGCACAATGGCGTTATGACACCTGTTGTTACTTGCATGCTTTCCCCCCTCCTCCTCCAAGGGAGGGGCAGAGGAGCACGTACTGAAAATCAAACCATGCCCTCATTCATTTGAATGATGCAAGGGAACGTCTGCCTGGACAAACCGCTGGATTACCTCGCTGCAGATTCATCTGGATGGTTTTTAGCAAAGCATGTTTCCCTTCCTCCTTTGGATTTAACGTCAAGCATGAAGCAAGACCTCTGGGGGAAAATTCAGGGTGCTCGACACTTCTCGGCGCAAAGTAGGCGTTAAACACAAATCATCCCATCTGGGCCAGACGGTGTTAGCACCCAGACAGAAGCCTGCCTCTCCACTTAACGGTGTTGATTAATAAGACGGAAACTTAATGAAGTACCTCCTATTATTTGCAAGAATGACTTCCCCTGGGTTCCTCCCTCGGTGGGCGAGAAAGACAGTGAGCTCATTCAGTGTTGTGCAAATTCTAAGAGTTTCTTGGCTTCGCATCAAAAGGAGCCCAACAGCACTTTTTCCCACTAGCAAATTTTATTAAAAGGCCTACGTTTTGGTGAACTCACCAAAGTTTATACCTTTTAATAACACTGGTTAGTGGGGAAAGGGGCTGCCAGGCTCCCTATCTTTTGCCACCATCAACTAACCTGGTTCTCCTCCTACAACTGGCTTGGCATCTTAACGGATGATTCTAGGTTGGACCTAACTACTTCCTCGGCTCCACTGAAATCACCGAAGCTCCTGGCTCTCATTAAGGTCCCCTGTTTGAAGTTCTTCCCTTTCACTGTGGTTAAGCCTTAGAAGAGATGGTTTCTCCTGCCTGAACTATCTTCCATGTCTGCTCTAGGGCAAAAGGTAAGATCTGTGCTTGAGGGGTGGATGGGGAAGGGAGAAGAGCAGTCAAGGACCTGGACAACATTGAAGGAGAAGAGGCACAGGGCCTGTCTCTAATGCAGTGTTTCTCAACCTTGACGACTTTAAGATGTGTGGACTTCAACTCCCAGAATTCCCCAGCCCCCCCTTCCTGCTCGGGGGGTTTCTGGGGTGGGGGATCCACCCCCTCCAAAAAACACAAAGGTAAAAAAAAAATATCTTTTACTTTGTGGTGTT